ATTTCCAAAAGTTTTTCACCATCCCAAACAGAAACTCAGCACCTGTAAGCAGTAACTCATTTTCCCCTCCCCCAGCCCCTGGTAACCAATAAACTTTTATCTCTATGCATTTGCCTATTCTATATATTTCATGTAAGTGGGATTATCCAATATTTGCCCTTTTGTGTCTGACTCATTTTATTCAACAGGTTTTCAAGGTTCATCCATGTTGTAGCATGTATTAGAATTACTCTTTAGGGCTGAATATCATTACATTGTACAGATAGATCACGTTTTACCCACTCATCTGTTGACCTGTGATTTTGATGAAGTTGCAGAAAAAGGGTTTGACTTTAGAGTCCTGCTCAAATTTGGTAGGATTTGTATGTGTTGGGGTGGGGGACTCTTATTAGCCAGAGGGATTTTGTGGTAGGCTGAAAATCCCACCCCCCCTTCCCCAACCAAGATATCAGGTCCTAATCACTGGAACCTGTAAATGTAACCTTATTTGGAAAAAGTTCTTTGCAGATGTGATTCAGTTAAGGATCTTGAGATGGAGAGATTATCCAGGTAGGCCCTAAATGCCATCACCGTTACAAGAGAGAGGCAGAGGCAGATTTGACAAACCCACATACAGAGGAAGAGGTGATGTGAAGCCGAAGCAGAGATCTGATGACGCTGGCCTTGAAGACTAGAATGCTGGCAGCCACCAGTAGCTGGCAGAGGCAAGGAATATATTCTCTCCAAGAGCCTTCAGAGAGAGTGTGGCCCTGCTGATGTTACTGCAATAACGTGGATTGGAGCCGTCTGCCACAATAGCCAATTCTGAGACCGGGGTGAGGTGAGCAGCAAGAGGTTTATTATATATCGATATATAGGAGACAGAGGGGAATAGATTTCTCCAGAAAACCCGTCTCCCCAACTGGAGATCGGCTGAAGGCTTTTATAGGGAAAGGATTATGGGTTTTGGAAGTTTGTGTTAGTTCCCCCTTGAGGTGGTCATGTCTTAGATGAGTTCATCTTTTACTGGTATTCTTGGGGGTTATCTGGCGACATCCGCGTTATCTTGTCACAAGATGGGTGCTTTGTTCGGTTTTTCATCCCTAGACCATTATCACTTGTTTTCCACCCTCCAAGGAGGAACATCGGTTAATCTTAAACCTTTTGCAGACACTGGAGCCAGAAGGAAAGACAAGATCATGAGACAATGTGGCGGTTAGCAGTGGGGAGGAAATAATAGTGAGCCGGGCCTATGCAGCCTCTTCCACGGACACCTTGATTTCAAGTCAGTGAAACTGATTTTGGACTACTGGCCTCCTGAACTATGAGAGAGAGTAAGTTTCTGTTGTTTTAAGCTACCCAGTTTGTGGTAATTTGGTACAGCAGCCACAAGAAACTACTACGGATTTCTAGGCAGCTTTATATTCTGTCTGCCTTAGGGGACATTATCATTCAGTCAGCAGACCCTTTCAACATAGAAATAAATCTGCAGATGGGCTCTTAGAGTCAACCTTAGTCGGCAGGTATCATCTAGGGTTATTATGATTAAGTGAATTAATAATTATAAAATTCTTAAAATAGTGCCTGGCACAAAGTAAAGAGTACATATAAACCTTTGTTAGATGGGACTAAATTGGTAGAGTCCTGGTTCAGGTACTGAGGTTCTTGCTTTCGTCATGCTCTCCCTCTGTTGACCCTTCAGGAACCAGAGAACATTTTTAGTCCTCGGTTAAATACTTTGCCCTTCAGAATGTGTCCCTTTTATAATGAAAGGTCATGATTAGATGTGTTAGGTATCAGAAAGGTACATTACAACTTTTAAAGATAAACAGATCTTCCCCTAAGGAAAGAATTCAGTAAAATTCTTATACAGCTTCTTCCCTTGGAGACAAAGGATTAATACTTTAAAGTCTAGTCATTTGAGTTCTCTATTTAAAATCTCTTGTTCTTCATTCCTAACTGTATTTGAAGAACAGTAATTTATCTCTTCCTCAATCAGAGAGGGGAGATCTAAAGATCCACCATTAGACCAGGAGTGGAAAGCCCAGATTAAGTCCCAATTCTGTCACCACCTATTTGATTCTGAGCAAATCCTTTAGCCACTTTAAGCTTGTTTCTTCACCCAAATACTTTAAAATATATCTTTTAACTTTTTTGATGGATGCTTTGTTTTGCTGTAAATACTTAAAGATATCCTTTCTTTGGTTCATATATGCACCATGTTTTCTTCTCAATTTGATTCAAAGGGCTTCAAATACTCCAGTAGAAAATCCTTTAAAAAAGACCTCTTGTTTATTTCCCTTACCCCTCATTAGCCTATGTTGTGTTTCCATAGATTGAATACTTTCTCTCATCTGGCTCTTGGCTGTGTTGAAAACTCAAGTTAGCAGTCGGTCTGTCAAAGTATAGCCACTGTTTGGAGACTGCTAATTGTGGAGACTAATTGTCATCACCAGGCAGGTTTTCCACATACTTCTCAACAAAGGTGGAGGCATCTAAACGTAATTTAACTTTTATACTTTCATATGGAGTGTCATATACTTTTTGTTAGACCACATCTCAAAGCGGGGAGGGGGGGTCTTAGTCATCTAGTGCCGCTATAACAGAAATGCCACAAGTGGGTGGCTTTAACACAGAGAAATTTATTCTCTCACAGTCTAGAAGGCTGTAAGTCCAAATTCAGGGCATCAGCTCCAGGGAAAGGCTTTCTCTCTGTTGGCTCTGGGAG